CTTTCCAGCACCATTTGTTGAAAAGATTATGCCTCTCCCATTGAATTGCTTTTGTCCCTTTTGTCAAAAATTAATTGGGCATATTTGTATAGGTCTGTATCTGGGTTTTCTACTTTGTTTCAATGATCTGTAGGTTTTCATAGATTCTTTATGAGAATCCTGTTCTCATAGGTTTCCTAGTTCTCCTATTCCTAGTTTGCTGAGAGTTTTTATCATTAATGGGTTTTAGATTTTGTTAACCATATCTTCGACAATTGATCTAATCATGTGATTATCTTCTTTAGCTTGTTAATATAATGGATTATGTTAAGTTTTGAATATTTAAAAAGCCTTGAAAGCTGGAATAAATCCCACCTGACCCCCAGTATATTATTATTTTTATACATTGCTGTTTTTGACTTGATAATATTTTGCTAAGAATTTTTTCATCTAGATTTATGAGAGATACTGGTTTGTAATTTTCTTTTTAATTGTCTTTGTTTTTGGTGTCATTGTAAAATAGATCTTATGAAATGAGTTGAGAAGTGTTTCCTCTTGTTTGTTTTCTGGAAAATAATATTGTGTTTTTAATTCTTAAGTGTTTTCCAAGACTAATGTTCCAGAGAATCAAACATAAGGTATTTAGGGGAAAGAGGGGCCAGGCTTGTACATTTCTTTTTCATGTTTAGTGTGTTCCCCTCTGGAGTCCACTATGCCTTAGTCAGAGTGGGAAGTTCAGTCTAGGAGAGTCCAAATGTGTAGGAAATGTGACTTTAATGTGTCTTCCCACTCACTGGTATTTTAAGAAGCACTAAAGAAAGGTTAGAGATTAGCACTTGCATAAGCAGCTAAAGGACAGCTAAATTTTAATTACTTTCTAATTACTTACTACCTGCACTCTACTTTCCAATATATAATTAATAATACTTTTCCTTCTGTCAGAACGGATCAAGAACCAAATGTTATAGGGCTATGGGATACAGATTTAAAAAAATACTTTTATCATATCTAGTTGTAAAATTTGCATACAGTAGAGCTTAGTCCTCGTGATGGGCATATGGGTTTTGAAAAATGCATCAAGTTATATATCCACCATTATGATCAGAATTCCAAATAATTCCATCACCGCTCATAAAATTTCTCATATTTTCTTTTTGGAGTCAATTTCACTCAATCACAATCCCTAGCAACCAGTGATCTATTCTCCAACCCTATAGTTTTGGTTTGCCAGAATGTCACAAATGAAGTCAAATTGTATTCTCCCTTTTGACAGTGGACTTTTTCAATTAGCAAAATATTTCTGTGATCTATTGATGTTATTGAGACTATCAATAGTGAGGTTTTTTTCTTGTTTCTGTAAAAGCTTAGAGTGTTCAACACACCAAAGTTCTTTTGGAGGAATTCCTTTGAGATTGGTCGTTTTGCGTATAGCCATATAGCTCCGTTACCTGGTTGATAAGATGAGAGATAAACTGACCAGCAATCAGCCATCACTAGACTAGGTAATGACCTATGAAGGTATCTGGTAAAAGAGCTCCATCCAACAGAGATAGTGTGTATTGGTTGTTGCTTGGCCACCCTACACCAATCCTCTGAGAGTCAGTAGAAGCCAGAGTAGTAGAGACAGTTAGGAAGAGCAGCAACTTGAAACAGGGAACAGTGGATAAATCTCTGATCCAAGATGATGGCCAGACCCTTAGAACCTCATAGTGTCCTGAACAATGTTGCGTTCTCCATCAAGCCTTGCTGAAGGTGGTTGAGTTTCTTATCTTCTGTTTTTCTTTTCAGATAGACTAAAATTCTTTCTTTTATCATTTGTTTTTTGTTTCAAAAATTTTCTTTAGTCATTCTTTTAGAGTAGGTCTTCTGATTATAGATTCTCTTAGTCTTCCTTTGTCTGAGGATGCCATTATTTCCCCTTCACTCCTGAAGGATCAATTCACATGACATGGAAGTCAGGGTTGACAGTTCTTTTTTTTCTCAGGACATGAAAAATGTGCCATATCCTTCTAGTCTTCCTGGTTTCTAATGGGAAATCTGCTGTCACCTGAGTTATTTCTCTTACAGATAAGGCGTTGTTTCTTTTTCACTGCTTTCTAATTTTTTTCTTTTTCTTTAGTTTTCTGAAGTTTGGCCATGATGTATTTTGATGTAGATTTCTTTGAGTTTATCCCTTTGGGGTTCTCCACCTTCTTGATGCTATACAATTATGTCCTACAGCATATTTGGAAAATTTTTAGCCATTATTGCTTCAAGTACTTTTTAAGCTTCACCTCTTTTCTCCTTTCCTTCTGAGATGCTGATGACATAATTAGGTCCTTTAGTCTCACAGATCTTTGAGGTTCTATTACTTTTTTGTTGGGGGGTGGCTTTATTTTCTGACTTTTGTTCAGATTGGGTAATTTCTATTGTTCCGACTTCAAGTTCACTGATTCCTTCTTCTTTTTTCTCCATTCTGTTTTTGAGCCCATCCATTGAGTTTTTTATGTTGATTATTCTATTTTTTAGTACTAAAATCTTTATTTTATTCTTTTTTACATGCTGCATTATTTCTGAATGGAGGTGAAATTTCCCACTTGGGCTTCTTTGATACCACTCTGGTAGGGAGAAGAAGGTGGCCTCATTATGACTGGTTGGAGATGAAAGTCCAAGATCCCAATGTGGCTTTCTCTGATACTACCCAGCTAAGGTGGAAGAAAGTCACCCCATCATAGCTGAATCAAGATGAAAGTCCTGGATCTCCACTCAGCCTTTTCTGAGTCATGTCATGTTTTTTTTTCCATGGTGTTTGACTGGAGTAGAGTGGTTTTTGTTTAAATGTTTTTTGTCATGCTAGGTTGCTACTCTACTGGTCACTTGTCTAGAGAAAACAGGCTTTGGGAGAGGTTTTTTGCTTTTTCACTCCTCTTGATGTTTTTGGGTTACTATCTTTTCCTACATCTACATCAGGATATACAAAACAAAAAGCAAATTCAGGAAACTTACTGCCACATTGTTCCTTGCATCTAAAGTCTCTATTTGGTTTTCCTTCTCTCAAATAATTTGAAATATTCCATGTTTCTTTCATATATAATATCCAGGATATTTAGCTGCACTTAGCAAGAGGCATGAGAGGAAATGTGTTTACTTGACTTGGTCCAAAACAAGAAGGAACATAGATTTTTAAGTCTGTAGAGCAATTGAAGAATTTTCTAATTCTAAACCCCTGAGAATCATATTAGAGTAGCTTTAGAAGAATTATTCAAACTATACACCTAGACTTTCCCCGCACCTCTAACCTCTCACTCTTCACTCTCCTGGATTTCCTTTGGAAGAAGAAGAATTATGGCACAACCACGTCATACTCCACATTGAGAATAGCAAAATGATCTTTCTCAAGTGTACTGGGATGCAAAAAAATTGAGAACCCTGACATTCTAAATCATCCACTTTACATATGAGAAAACTGAGACTCTGAGAGGTGACAATTTTTTCACATAGCAGATAAACAGCAAACCCAAGCCTGCATATGGGTCTAGAACAGTACTTTTCAAACATTAATATGCAAACACATCACCTTGGACCTTGTTAAAATGCAGATGGAGCAGGGCTGAGATCCTGCATTTTTAACAAGGACACAGATGGTGTTGCTGCTGGTGCACTTTGAGTAACAACATTCTAGAACATTGACTCAGCTTATGGCACTTTCCACTGTCCTTAAAATTTGTATTCTTTCATCAGGAAAATGGAGAATGTGTAAAAGTTTGACAGATAAGTATCTAAACATTCATGTGCCTGGTTTGTAACAGTAAAGGAAGATGTGAATGGTAATGGAGGTACAGAGAAGAGAGTAGAAGGACCCATCCAGAGACCAAACACCGTCCTGGCTTTGCAAGATATTTGTTGCCTTCAAAACTCAGAGGAATTTTGGTAAAGACCATGGGAGAGCATATGAACGACTCTTAAGCTGTTTAGCTGCTCATGTAATCTGCTTAGGTGTGAAGGTTAAGAATCTCTCCCTGTCTAGGAAGGATAAATTGACCTTCTTTCTCTATAATCATATGGAGTGTAGTTCTCTAATAGGTAACGATTGGGGAAGGCACACTGAAATTCACTAACAAGACATTAAAGTGACCAGAAAACAGACATCTTGGTCCACGTCTGCTTTGATGTAGTATAGTACAAAGACAATTGTTCCCAGATTTGGGCCCTGTTCCTGGCTCCATTATTAATTTTATTTGCGGCCTTGAATAAGTCACTTAATCTTTCTATGACAAACTTGTCAAAAGAGCGTACTGGTAACTAGCATATGGGTTGAGATCTATTTAAAAAGGTATAAAGTGATATACTAATTAATACTAGCAGATCAATATAATGGGAAGACTGAGTCAAGGATCTCAGTAAATTGGATTGTACCCTAGACCCTACACCCTGAAACATTTAGGTATGGAAGATCCAGCAATCGAGTCTCACATAAATGTACTCTTAACAATTCCTAGCTGTCATTTGGGCCCTTTCTCTGTCAGATATCACTGAATTTGACATCATCTTTGACTCTAAAGTTCCATCTCTCTGAGGAAATACACGCAATACCAGTTAGGGACAGATATCGTGTATTTCCCAATGTCACTGCCTACATGTTCAATGTCCCCACTATAGCAGGGGACACTGTGGCTTCCTCTCTTCTCTCCTCTTCTCTAGAGCCCCATAAGAATTCTGTCACTGTATATATGGGTATGTGTGATTGTGTGCATAGGTGTGTGTTTGTCAGAGAAAGGGAAGAAATGGGGGTAGCAAAAACTGAAGGTGAGAATGAAAAAAGACAGAAGATATTAAATCACAAACTGAAATTTACCCTTGAATATCAACAGTTTTTGTGTTTCTGTGAATACAATACTTGTTTATTGACTGGAGGGAGCTAAAGTCAGTTTTGAAAGGGCCTCTAATTATCAGAAAACTCCTAAGCCTGTCCCAGCCTCACCCCTTGTTCTCCTGGCTTCTTTGCACCTGGGTTGTTGTTCTGACCTTATGACAGTGAGATTAGGCAGCATGAGGGTATTACAGAGGATAAATCAGGATGCAAAGATCCTTCTGTCTTTTGCAAAGAAGGCAGCTGGGCAGCTGAGAGGAACAACATTCAGCTCTGTGAGTATTTCTGAACTTTTGGTGAATATGAACAGGATATAACTGATGGGCTTTGGAGGGTTAATCAGACTTCAGAAAAAAAAAATGGGAGAAGAAAACATATTGGACCTATGGGCCTGGGCTGAGGCTGGGGCTGAAAACAGGAAAGAACATGAAGGAGATACACTCAGACCTTCTTGTTATGCCAAGTGACAAGCAAATAAGTGAAACTTGATTATTACAAGGTCACTGCAAGGCTTGATTCCTGAATTCATTTGCAAGGAGCCAGTAGTGACCCTCCCTGTTTGCAGCTTCATAGTAAACAGTTTTCTGACTAAGGAGGGATCTGTGGCACTAAATAACCACAGAGAAAGCAGCTCTTTACTCCCAGGATGTGCTTGCAAACTTGGCCCAGGCACCAGTGGGCTAGTGTAAGTGTTAGGGAAAAGAGAAGGGGAGCTGAGAGTGAGCATGAGAATGACCGCAGGGCAGTGCAGGTGGCAGAGCCTCCTCCCTTTGAGGTCAAAGTGTTTGTTTGTTCCATTCTGAAGCAGGGTGCTGGCTGGATTTTCGGTAATTTTTTTTTTTATGACTTTGGTTTGGGTCTTGTTTTGCTTTTCAAATTAGTGATTTTCTCTGCCTCAGCAGGACCCTGGGTGATATTTATTGGCTCAACCCCAACAGTACTTCCCTTCCTAGCTCCCTCCAGCCTCTTTCTAAGTTCACCAACAATGGACTTGTCTATCTGTCTATATCTTTGCTGAGAAAAACAGAACTGGAAGCTTAAAGTGATAACAGCAGCATCAGAGAGGCTGCCTCAGGAACCTTCTAAAACTGTTTTTCTTTAGTTGGAATTTATGAAGGATCATCCCGTCATTGTATACAGCTGGCCTTTGCTGTATAAAGCAACCGAAGATGATTTGTTGCTTTATATCAATCTTTAACTTTGCTAAGTTGACCCTAACCCTAGTCCCCTACAAAAGTATGCCTTGAAATATTACTTTGCTGCATCCACTTATTCTGCAGATAAACAGTTTGTAATCATCAAAAGGGGAAGGACTAACATGGCTTTAAAAACAGTAAAATGTTCTGCCTTGAAAAGGAATAAATTGCTTGACTATTTTGGAGGAAAAAATGTGAAACTTCTTTCAGCTAAAATCATGTCTGATAATACATTTAGGATTATTCAGCTCCAGGTGCCCTTAGAATTTCTAGAAAAGTGTGGTCAGGATGAGGTTAGCTTTTAGTGGTGTTTATGGGCTACAGGACTGGCTTCCAATGCAGGAAAAGGTCATAGTTGTTTTACCCTTCCTAAAGGTTTTGCAGAGAGAATTGGAGGGTAAATCTATGGCAGAAACTGCATAGGGATTAGTCGACTGCTCTGGTTACCTAGTGCAAATCCTGAGCACCATTAGGATCAAGGGATTAACTTTGCAACGGTTATGTAACTCTTTCTGAGGAGGATTCACTCATATAATACATCAAACTTAGACATGAATGCTGTCTAGGCCTAGAGGGGTAACTTCAGAATTATGTAAACATGCAGAAGAAACTTGTAAGAAAAAAGGGGATGTATCATCAGGGGAATATGGATGTCACGTGTGATTTTTAAATTCTTTGGGGTTGCTGTTTGGTATGTCAAAGGGATTCAAGGAAGGCTTCTTCAGACAGAATTTGAAGACAAGAAATAAGTTGACAGTTGGGGCATTTGAAGGAAGCAGAGGATTACGCAGCAAGTGTGCATCCACACTTGCCCCTCTGGTGCATGTCAAGGGCTCTTCAGCAGTTGGCCCAAGGGAAAGAGGTGCAGAGTCCAAGTGAACAAGCGTCACACCACAGATTTGTTTGCATGTTTCTTTTCGCTCAGAAGGTCTAACATATATGTGTTCTTTCTGAACACTTTGTGCCACTTTACTTGAATTGTCTTCTTAAAATTTTCCCATAACATTAAAATAAAGGTATTCTTTGATTCATTTTATAGATGCAATAAGACCCACAGAGGATTGTGAAACTTATCCTAAGTCACGTAGCCAGTTCTGTGGAGTAGGAACTTAAAACGACATCAAGTTGAGTCCAAAGAGTATACAGCTAGTGCTCGACTTACAACCACGTTTGGGACCGGCAGACCGGTTGTAACATGATTTGGTCGTAAGTTGAGTAGGCTATATGTACAGTTGAAATGGTGCACACGGAGATGGTAGTGCTGCCGGAAGCTGCCCAGCTGGGCAACGTTTGCGCTGCCAGACGTGGAGCAGTCGTGGCTCGCGATTGTGGTCGTAAAGTCGAATGGTCGTAAGTTGCATAGGTCGTAAGTCGATCAATACCTGTACTCTATACCGGGTTACCACCAAAGAGCAATTTAACCAAATAGGGCCACTTTAGGCTCTTACATTAGAAAACTCTGGATCCAACATAATTGGATCTTATTAGGGCTGCCAGATAAAATGGAGGATGCCAGTTAAATTTGAATTCCTGAAAAAAATGATTTTTTAAAGTATAAATATATACCGTGAAATAGCTAAGATATAATTTACTTAAAAAATTATTTCTTTTACATTCAAATGGAACTGGGTGTCTTCCTTCCTTCCTTCGTTCCTTCCATCCTTCCTTGTTTCCTTCTTTCTTTCTTTTCTTTCTTCTTTTTTTCTGTCTTTCTTCCTTTCTTTCTTTTTGCTTAATCTGGCAATTCTAACCCTAATATAGTTCTTCAGATGAGAGAAAAGAAAGTTTGTGATTTCTTCTATCTTGAAAATCCTGAACAGTTAAAAAACCTTCATCTGCGAGAAATTCTCTAGCTGCCTTCTGTGACTTTGGCAGGGCTGGGATGTGTCAGTTGCTGGTGTTCCACTCTGAGCACAGCACGGATCTTGGCTGCTCAGCAGCGATTCCCAGGGTCCCAACCGCACTTAGGAGAGGCACAAAGTTTGCCTGTCGACCAGGGCCACAGACGGCCCACAGAATGGGAACTGAGTTTAGTGAGTAGAGGAACTGGCAGTGCATTTCCTAAAGCCTGAAAACTAATGACTTCTCTATGGTCTGATGGAGACGTCAAAAAGTCAGGGTCTCATGAAGGTTTAGGATTTTCGTTCAATTTCTAAATTGATTTATTAAATCATTTGACAAATATAATATATATGGCATAATTACTATATACCATGCACTGGCACTGTTGTTTCTGGGACTGGAAAGGCAGCCTCATGAAGTGATTCTAGTAGAGGATAAAGGCAGGAATCACAGCATGGGCGGGTGGTCCAGGGTGATGGCCAGTCTCACCATTCCTGGTACTGGAAAGGATAATCATTTAATAATAATCGGAATTTAAATAAGAAAAAAATATTGGAGGTGAGGATACTAATTGCAGCTCAATTTTGAAAGAAATAAGAAAGCTAGTATGACTTGAAGTTATAGAATATGAGGCTTAAGGGCTATGCAGTGTGGCCACTAAAGAGAGTCATTGTTAGCATGAGCCAAAGACAGTCAGGGAGGTTTGCAGTGAACAATATGAGCATAGGCTGGTGTGATGGGTCATGCCCATAAACCTAGCACTTTGGGAGACTGAGGTGGGAGGATCACTTAAGCCTGGGAGTTTGAGGCTATAGTGAGCTATGATTGCAATTCTACCACTTCACTACAGCCTGTGTGACGGGCAAGAACTTGTCTCTCTTAAAAAAAAAAAAAAAAAAAAAGAACATTGGCATAAATCTGTAATGGGTAAAATAAGGAATCCTCTGTAGACAAGTCTCCCACACACTAGATTTTATGGAATAGATTGGCTCAGAGTTAGAGGCAAAAGCAATTTGGAGTTCTTTGGGGCTTTTCAGGATCTTCCTTCTAAGAGCAAGTTTTGTTAACTCTTATGAAATAAAACAAGAAAGAAAATAATGTCATCCAAAATGACACAATTTTTTAAATTTATCTTTTTCAATAATCTTCTTTGATTTGTATTTGAAGAATGGCAATGTGCACTTCTGTAGCCAAATTAAAGTCTGAGAAACCATACTGGATAGGTCCTATGTATAGATAGAAGAAAGTATCGAAGAGTTGTGAAAAAGGGGGGTGAAGAATCTTACGCCTGGATGTAGAGTCGAAAAGCACAAACGTATTACTCAATCATCCTGCATTAGCTTCTCCATGTGCTTGTGTATTCAGATATATTGAATATGTTCATGGGTGTTAGTATCCCTGTTTCAGGGGTCCTCTGACTACATTGTCATCTACTAGAACTAAGAGAAAAGTTTCCGGTTCACATGAGAATTAAACAAAATAATCCTATCTTAGACTATAAGGACTTTAAGGACTATTAAAAAAATAGGCCATGAAAAATACTCAAGAAACATTTAGAGTCAGGTTATTTTACAGCTGGATGGAGGAATATGAAAAGCTTAAAGAGATTGCAGGTTCTGTAAAAGACTATAGAGGTCACCGAGTGTATTTTCCTCTCTTTATAACTGGTAGAACTTCTAGTCACAGAGAAGTACAGCATCACAATAAATCCACATAGAACACTCGTAGCAGATCTATTTTATTTATTTATTTTTTAATTTTAATTTTAATTTTTTTATGCCCAATGTGAAGCTTTGATTTAATTTATTTATTTTTAAATTTTTTTCAGTGGTAGATCTATTGGAACAGCATATTTACTTAGATTTTTAGATTTTAAAATCTATCTATTGTCCATTTATGCAACTAATAGATTGTGTAAGTAATGTAGCGGAGTGTAAGTTTACACTCCGTTACATTAGGTGCCTGCATTGATTTATACTCTGTTTTTTTAAAAGATCCTTTGAGAAGATGAAAACTTCTTTTGTGTCAACACAAAATACTGAGGTTTCTTATTGAAGTACTTTTCTTCTCCAGCCTAAAATAAAGATCTAAGAACCAATGGTCTCCATGACTTGAAGGATCTTCTTTTTTTTTTCTCTTGCTGTCTAAGCAGGCTGAACGGGAAACATCAGGTGCCTGGGGGCTGTTAAAATGAGTGATAACACTGCTCTGGCTGCTCCAGCTTCAAACCAGGGTCCTACCACCCCACGCAAAGGTCCTCCCAAGTTCAAGCAGAGGCAGACTCGCCAATTCAAGAGTAAACCTCCAAAGAAAGGTGTGAAAGGGTAAGACCAAAATGAAAAGAAAAACTTTCTTCTACTTTCTTTTCCCCACATGATTGCTTTTGTTTTGAGAGACTAGTGGTCACAATATTAAACAGACTTACAAAAATTTCCACCCCGTCCTCTCTTTTCCTCTGTAATTTGATCTTAGATGAATTGTATCTTTATCCCTGGAATTCTTTCCTTCTCAACTTCCAGGTTTGTGGCCAAAATTAACACGGCAAATGGAGGCTTTTATTACAGTAAACTTCGACTTTGCCTTCCAGGCCTTTTATAACCACTCCTCTTTACGGACATAACCTCTGCTTTAATCTGTACCACTGAACCACTGACCATTTCCAGAAAATATAGCTTATATTTACATCTTCCTAGTTGATATCCTCAGTTCTTCATTTTCTTCTTCCTCTCCTTGGCGACATCCTATTCATGTTTCAACACACACAGCTGATATGCTAATTTCTTTTTGAAGCTACCACTGAATCTCTCTCTCTCTATTTTTTTTTTCTTTTTTGAGACGGAGTCTTGCTCTGTCGCCCAGGCTGGTGTATAGCGATGCCATTTTGGCTCACTGCAACCTCTGCCTCCTGGATTCAAGCAATTCTCCCTGCCTCAGCCTCCCAAATAGCTGGGATTACAGGTGCCCGCCACCACACCCAGCTAATTTTTTGTATTTTTAGTAGAGATGGGCTTTCACTATGTTGGCCAGGCTAGTCACAAACTCTTGACCTCAGGCGAATCCGCCCGCTTTGGCCTCCCAAAGTGTTGGAATTACAGGCGTGAGCCACCGTGCCTGGCCCATTGACTCTCTTTAACAAGCTTTCTCATTACTTTCATGTTTGCATTTTGTACCTTCAGCTGTCTTAACTTACATTACTTACATTTACTTATTTGTATCTATTTTCTGAGACTAAGACCACTCAGAAATTTTGTCTGTTTTTTTCTTAACTCTCTGTGCCTAATAAAATGTCTAGTATATAGTTGATGCTTAGTTAATGATTTTGAACAAGTAAACAAATGGATGAATTCATCATTTTTATTGCCTTGCATATTGCTTTCTCATTTCAGTTTTTATTATAAAAAGTGAAACTTCATTAAGTTGATTAGTTTTTTCTGACTCTCAATTGTTTTAGGTTAAGTTCCTACAGGAGAGAAATACCTCGCCACTGGGATACACCAAAACTGCCTGAGTGACATTTTCTTTGCTCCAGTTCAGTGCAAACAAAAGAAGTCTCTCAAACACAAATGCTTAAACCTCTCCTTTTTCCACCTTGAATCAAGAAACTCTACATGCGAGTAGCTCCAAAATTCTTTTGCCCTAATCTCAGCTAATTTCCTCTTTATTTTCTTCCATAGATTTGGAGATGACATTCCAGGAATGGAGGGGCTAGGAACAGGTAAGCCATCCACTGATTTAAGTGAGAACTTGGCACTTGGAGTTCTGCCTTTTTATATACTTCAAGCCTCAAGGAGGAGTTGAAAATTATGAGAAATACCGAAGGCAGAAGATCTGTGAAGACATAAAAATGTGGGGATTTAATTACCCTCCTAAATAAGTACATGTGTCTCAGATACAAAAACCCTAAAAGAAAGCGGGGTAGGCCCAAAGTTTCATAAATCCTCTTGTTTTCTTAAACAATCTTTGAGGGCATATAATGATGAATTACAGACTTTTATGGTAGAAAGCATGTCATAATTCGTCTAGCTCAACTTCATTTTTCAGGAGAGAAATCTGGGACATAGAGGAATTGGCAATCTTTTGTCTGTGGCTACAGGGTGAACCATTGGAAATAAGGGTGAGGTCTGGAGATCTCTCCATTCTACCACGCAAACCACTTCCTTAACAACTTCTTCTTTTCACACATCCTCTAGCACCCAGAGGAGGATCTTACACACTGAATGCCTGCAATATAGTTTTTAAAATTGGGTACCGTATTTTTTTAGTATACAATGAATGCAATTACTGTGTATTTTTTAAAAACATTAATTTACTTTATTATTTGAAGAAGTTTAAGATTTACAGAAAAATTAGCAGAAAGTACAGGGTTCCTATATGTGTTCTCTACCACCTCCCTCCCCTTTTACGCAGTTGCCTCTATTATTAACATCTTGTATTAGTGGGATTATATTTGATGAGCCAATATTGATGCAGTATATTAATAAGTCCATAGCTTATATTCGGATTTATCTTTTGTGTTGTTAAGTTCTAAGGGTTTTGATAAATGCATCATACCATGTACCCACCATTACAGTACGTACTGTAATACATATAGTGTTATACGGAATAGTTTTGCTGCCCTATGCTCCACCTAGTCACCCTTCTCTCTCTCAAAACACCTGACGTTCACTAACCTTTTTACTGTCTCTATAGTGTTGCCTTTTCTAGAATCTCATATAGTTAGAATCATACAGTATATAGCTTTTCTGGACTCACTTCTTTCATTTAACAATATTCATTTAAGGTTTCTCCATGTTTTTATATGGCTTGATAGCTCAGTTCTCTAAATCACTGAATAATACTTCATTGTAGAGATGTACACAGTTCTTTATCCTATTGAAAGGTATCTTGGTTGCTTCCAAGCTTTGGCAAGAATGAATAAAATGGCCCTAAATATTTATGTACAGGCTTTTGTGTGGACATATTTTGAAATCATCGAACACGCCTTTGATAAGTGGCAGCACCTGCAGTAATCAGTGTCCTTCCCAGGCCATCCTCAGTGTCTCTGTCTGCAGCCTAATACCACTCCTGGCATCTCAAATGAATTTTCCAGCCACATTAATAGTATATTTGCTATTCTCCTAGATCAACCGCTTTCGTATTTTGGCAAGGTGCATACAAGACCAGCAAATTTGCTTTGGGATCTGGAAGATATGCTTGACTCTGACAGTGTATTTGGAATAATGTAAAGAGGTTTATACCAAGCAAAGACCTGGTTCTAGTCTTATCTCTACAACTATGTAGGTTTTGCTAATTATTCCATCTCTCCGGGTGTCAGCAAGCTTCTTTGTAACTCAGGGATAGTAGTATCTTATTGTCTAAAACAAGAAGCTAGACTAAAAGATGCCTTGTGATTATTTCTCAATATGTGATTGTATATAGGCAATTCAAAATGTAAAGGAGCAGAAGAACAATTAGAGAAGGGACCGATCTAGATTGGTAGGGAAGACTATGAATACCTAGACCATGGGGATTCAAAGCACTCCTCTTTTTCATTTTAACCCTTGGCCTGACTAGAATTCCACATCTACTTCCTCCTTAGTGGTTGTGCTTTGGGGAGACTCTGTGTGATCAGTGGGCTGTACCCCACAGGGAAACCCTCAGTCCAAAGCTGTGGATCACCTCCCCAAAGAGGAAGCAGAATGAAACCAACTTAGATGCCTGGCGCAACAATTAAGCAGTTGGTCTGATCCTTCCTGGGCTGCAGGACCATTCTAGGTAACATCCCAGTCAGGGGACAGTGAGCAGGAGAGAGGAGTGAGGTGTGTCTGCCTGAAGGGCAACTTTCTGTGAAGAGGCTCTCTTTGGGGAGAGGTTGGTTTACATGCTCTTCTTCCATCTCTTGCAGATATCACAGTGATTTGCCCGTGGGAGGCATTCAGCCACCTGGAATTGCATGAGCTCGCTCAGTTTGGGATTATTTGAGGTGCCAGAGGTTCGGCCACTCTCAACAACATCTGCTGTAATTTTGGTTGCATCTGCCCTGTTGATTTTGCCCTGTTGATCTGCCAGAGTCTTGAAATTCAGCTGATTGGAAGTGGTTTCTTTGACTTTCAAGGTCATTTCCTATCAGTTACTACTAAGAGTTCTCTTACTGTCAGAATCTCTCTTGGAGTACAGCTCAAAACAGTGGATGCATTTCAAACTTGACCACCTTTTCCTACCAGCTTGTTAGAAGTCATCAGTATTTCTCTACATTTTGTTTATGTGTAAGCCCTTTAAATCTATTTTTGCTAGGCTTCTATTATGATTAATAGCAGACTTTTAAGGCAACATTTATGTCACTCCCCTTCTGTTATTTACCAAAGGTGATATTTACCTTGAATGTCGGTGAAATTGTATTAAATGCTACATGGAAATATCTGATGCTGTGTTCTGAGAACCAATTAAACAAAGAAGGCACAGTCATCCAGGAAATAAGTGCAGTACTTACAAAACAGCATGGAATTAAGATTTGAATGCTGTAAGTTTGTAAATTTTATACCTTCTGGGTCTAAATATGATTGAGCTAGGTTATTCCAGAAGTCTTATGCAGCTCTAAATTGTACAGTTCTAAATTGGTGAGGAACTGGAGATTTAAACTGAGAATTCTGACAATGTGAGCCTTCTTTTCCATACTCTGGTTGAGGAAAGTTTCCTTCCACAGCATTTCCATAATGAAATTATTTCGTCTAATGGCTTAAAATGGGAGTCACAGTAGTTACATACATTGAGTGCTTTGTGTATGTCTGTAGTAAATCACCTTTAAACTGTCAAATTGAAAATATTTATATCCTATAAGGTTTAGACTCATATGCAAATGATAGGCAGTGGACCCTCTAAATAAAATGATGGTTTGCGTCACCTCTGAAGTTGTGTCAATGTGATGTGCTCATACCTACGTTTTCCTAATACTTTCAAGGCAATTGTGCAACTCAGATGCTGCCTCTGTGTGACTTGGATGCTTTGGAACTAACAGTATGAATTTCTTCATTTCAGTTTTGAAATCTGTGGTAAAAGAATGGAGTAAATTAACCGAAGAGAGAGACAGGATGATAGACAAGCAAGAGATTCAGGTTCTAATCCTGTCTCTACCAGTCAATTGCTATGTAGTTTTTGGAAAAGAGCTCACCCTTTGTGCCTTCAAGTTTACCTAAATCAGATAATCTAAGGTTTATGGTAGTGACAAGTTCTGTGACTTTGTGGTCTTAGGGGAGCGCAGCACTCAAAGACTTGTGGCTGTTACAAGGTCTGTGTTAATTATTTCACATGAATGATCAAATTGTTTTCTGGCCAGAAAATTAGAAGTACAAAAGAAAAAGTGAGGTATAGATTCAAAAGTGGAACCATGATATACAAAGAGGCCCAGTTGAAATGTGTGCTTCCTCCTTCAGCAGGAATTCCTGCCTCCACCCAGGCATGTATTTTCTATCCTTCCAAAGCTAATCCTTGTCCTTCGAGTCAGCTGCTCCATTTGACAGCCAGTGTCTTCAGTTTATCCCAGTCAGGGAAGACTGGCTTCTTCTCCAGCTAGGTGAGACTCTGGTTCACATTTGGCTTACTTTGCAAATATTTCTTTAAAAACAAAGCAATGATGTTGACAAAACAGAGTGCACTTAAAGAAATGTATCCAACGGCTAAATAAAGAAGAATCTAGAAACTATGCTACTTGAGGAATTGTTGAAGGAGCTGATAACATTTAGCTGCAAGAAGAAAACGTTCATTGCCAGCAAATATTTGAAAAGTTGTAAAGGTCCAGAGCTGTAACAACCTGAATGCACCAGATCTTGTTTAAAAAGTAATGGTGAAGCAGAAAGAAGTGGAGTTCTTTCATGCCAGGGTCCAGCATTTGGGGGTAAGCTGGAGTAGACATAATTTAAAGCCCTTCCAATATCTAGAATCCTATCATTTTATTATTTTAAATAAGAAATAAGAAGCCCCTCAATGTATGGACAACACATATGAAAGAGATAAAGTAAATCATTGTTCTCCTCTGAGTCCTGAAAGCAAAGAGATGACAATCCCAAATGGGGTAATCAAGGAAAGGTTTAACAAAGGGACTATTTACACAGGCTTCGGAAAAGTTAGTGGCAATCCACAAAGGCTAGTACATTAACTTGGGGCTAGAAACAGCATGGGAGTCGTTGCCAAACCTGGGCCTGAAGCAACCCTGAAATATCAAATCGAATAATGAAGGAGGAGCCCTTGACAAGGCTGTGGGATGCAGCAGAGGGACATAGCTAACATACAGTGATCCCGTAAGTAATCAGGAAGTGAAGGGGTTGTTCCTCCTTCCAATGTTGTTCTTCTCCCATTCTCCCTTGTTGATGCCTCCCATTGGCTAAACCCAACTGGAAGTCAGAGGGCAAAGAATCTCTTTAATGCATCATTAAAGTTCACCTTCTCCAGTAACACATGGACACAGGGAAGGGAACAACTCACACTGGGGCCTGTAAGGGGGGCGGGGGGACAGAGCATCAGGATACATAGCTAATGAATGTGCGGCTTAATACCTAGGTGATGGGTTGATGGATGTGGCAAACCACAATGGTACACGTTTACCTATGTGACAAACCTGCACATCCTGCATGTGTATCCCAGAACTTAAAATAAAATTAAATCAAAAATTTTAAAAAGTTTACCTTCTTTAGCAAAAGCAGGAGGAGCAGGTTGGAGAGTGGATGCTAAGGGGCAAAAAAAAAAAAAAAAAAAAATCCATTATAGCAGTAGTATTGAAGAGCAGATACTATTTGTCAGCCAGTGAATTTTAGCTGGAGTTGGGAAATAGTATGCATGTGTCTAAAGGCTACACAAGTGATTCTGATGCGAAACGCTGGAGTGGAGGAAGGGCAGTGTTAAATAGGAAGAACCCAATAGGCAAAAGAGAACAATAGCCGAAGTAATTTATCATAAAGTTTAAGGGTTTGGGGAATTTTAAAAAATCTTCAGACACTTCTGATAATAAGAAACATTGAGGGTCTCTTGTTAAAAGCACATAAAATTTGGGCCTCACTCCAGACTTTCTGAATAAGAATTTCCAAGGGAGAGATATTGGAATCTACAATTTTAAATAAAGGCTCTAGGTGATTCTTATATTTGTGCCAGTTCAAAAACTCTGATGTAATCCAAGCCTACATTTTACACATAAGGAATTAGCTAATTCTTAACTTGTTACCACCAAGTGGCCCAGTGACCAACTTAACCCATTCTCTTGCCCCCAGTAACACATGGAATATGTGGGAGAACAGAGGCTAACATGTATGTGTTCTGACTCTCACATGGTTTTGTGGGCTGATGAGGTAGATGTGCCTCACTCCTCTAGACCTAACCCAGAGGATGTCAGAGAGCTCAGGAGGCAAGGGTTGGACTGAAGCAATTCCAAGAATATAGGGCTGGACAAACACCACAATTATGGCCACTGCCTCACCAAGCCACCCTCCCTCTGTAGCCTGTGTCACACTCCCTGGCCTCTGCTGCCTCCTTTAACTGGAGTAGGAGGAAACCAGAGAAGGTGAGAGGCAGGTGGAGGCAGGAGCTGGCTATTCCTCCACCTTCTTCCTGATTGGTTTAGCATTGGGTAGAAGTGGAGATTAATGGTGCCGGTGAGCTAGACACTGACCCCCATTCTCCACAGACCTCTGTCACACTACAGTCACAGAAAAAGCAGTACATGAAGAGAAAACTTTCCTCCTGAGTCTCAACCCTAGCTGAACATGCCCAGTGGTCCTAACAATTGCCACTGTGCAATTGACCTGTGCTGTGAGAAAGCAAAAATCGCCATAAACAATGTTATAAAACAAAGGGGGAGGAGTTTCTTAACAACTAAAGAAGTGGGGGAAATCACATGCATAGAGGAATAATCAATTAGACCAATATTTAGCACAAGAGAAAAAACGATCCCACAAGATTGAGCACCATAAAGCTAATATAATGAGAACTACGCAAATATGACACTGAATTGTTTTAAAGAGGAAAATAGGAAAGGAGCTATGTTTCATAAATGGCTACAGGGAAAGGATTATACAGGCCGTAAAATTGTGGGTACGTAGAAACTAGCATGATGCTTTCTGCAATACGAGGGCAGAGTCAAATGGATGAAAACTGAAATTAAAAAAAGCAAGAATCGAGTTGATTGGCAACGTCAGTCACACTATCTTTTTTTTTTTTGGCAAAAAAAATTGAGAGGCCTGGGTTCTGCCTGGATCTGCCACAAAGTACCTGCTAGATAATCAGCTAATTAACTTTTCTCCTTTGGCCTCAAATATTTGAGAATAAACCAGGTTCTTGGATATAATGATCGCCAAGCTTCCTTTCAGCATAAAACTCCAAAAAGCAAGTAATAAACCTAAAATATTTCAACTGGTCCCTTTAGACCCAAAGGCCTAAAGCTCAAAGCCTCAGTTTCCAATTATTTTCAGAGTGCTTGTTTAATCCCCCTTTTCCACATTTCTCCAGGGCCCAGTGATAAAGTCAAATCGTGGATAGTACTGCCACCTGCTGCAATAAATAAGCACTTCAACACTTAGAAGACAAACATTTCTATTAGAAGACTTCAATCCGCAGAGCTAGTTCTGAATTGAACTAGCTTCCCATTCATCGACCAATTAAAACTGTTGCACTGCTTGTCCAAGGAGAAGTAATCCATACAGAGGATAAGCATTAAAAAGGTATAAAAGTGAACACAGTACAAGGTAAGTTTTGCTTCCAGCCAGTACCCTACATCCCACTCTCATTCTCAGTCCCTGTTATGCTTTCTGTGAATCCTACCAGAGACATTCTATGCATAGACACACTTGTATGTATACACTTTTTTTGCACAGTAATAACATACTATATTCACTATTCGATGCTATTTTTGACTTGTGTTTTCTTGAAGATTGCTCCATGTCTGTACATTTTGATAGGCCTCATTTTTTAAGGGGCTGCATATGTTTCATTTGTATAATTGAAGTCTAATTCACTTATCCAGTCTCATACAGAAGGATATTTTGGATATTTTTAGACTTTTACATATTTTCTCAAATGACTTCATATTTATGTCAGAGTCATACAGGTTTATCTCTAGGACCAGTTTCTAGGTGTAGAATGGACAGGTTTTGAAGGATATTGCCACATTCACCTCTGAAAACTTTGTAATCATTAATACAGCAGATAAAATTGAGGCACATTTTTCCAAAAACTCATATCCTTATATAATATTATTACATTTTTATTTTGCCTGGAATTGAACTGTTTCATAAGTTTAAACATTACTGTTATGTTCTTGTCAGGGCTTTGTGTATTTTCCTATAAAACAGTAAATCTTTGTAGTGAACGCTAAGATCTCTCCTGCATCACTGTCATCTGTATAAAAGGAAGTATTGGTTTGTCTTATATTTGTGGTACAAATACTTTTTCCCATTTGTTTCCTACTTTTTAACCTTCATTTATATTATTTTTAACCCATACATATTTGAAATTTTATACAGTCATCTTAGCATTTTTAAGAACTTTTGTATATTTTATTTTAGGTTTTTCTCATTCCTATTTAAAATTTTTTTTTTATATTTTCTCCCAGTGTTTATTCCTTTTCTTTTTTTACTTTAAATCTTTGATCCATCTGAAAACTATATATTTTTGCAGAAAATGTTTTCTTCAGATAGGTAGCCATGTATCTTAATCCAATTTAATCATAAATAATAAATTTCTTCTACCACTTTAGTGAATTTCCCTATTTGTCACATGTGACTCTATTTCTATACTTTCTATTAAATTACATCAATTTATTCATGTTTAAGTAGCTACTAACTTCAGAGTATACTTTAAGATTTAACATAACTTGTACCTTCGCATTATGTATCTTTTTCATACACTTTCTGGATATTAGT